ATAATTTAGTTTACTATAGTTAACTGACTTTTGGATAAACTTCGCATTTGTATTTGTAAAATTTCCCTAAACTTTATTTAGGAAAATTTTATAAATAGAAAATCAGATAGCAAAACGTCTATATTTCTTTAAAATAGTATTTAAAATTCTCTGAATAGATTATACACATTTTAAATTCAATCCAAATTCACAGTAATATCTACTTAGTTATTCTCTGTACATTAACTATTCTTTGAATGCAGATAACCTATTTACGAGATACTCAGAATAATAAGAAAAAAGACCATTACTTTGAAAAAATAATTAAGAAAATTTATGTATTTTTTTAAAATAAGATTATTTTTTAAGATGTGGGTTATGTCCTTAACCTAATAAGGATGATCATCTGTTTGCTATATATGTGACGAAGTTACAAAGTTTACTAAGAATTTCTGTTGGAATCGGGCAGCAATTTATAAATGTAAATATGTATAAATATAAATAAACTTTCAGAATTTATTTTAAAATTAAATATTTGCTCGATATTTTATAATATTTTGACCGCTTATAATTTCACTTCTTAAACTTGGCTAGAATAATAAAAATTGAATTATTGAACTATATTGAGTTCTAATCAATTAGATTTTGCTCATCTTTTCTGAATATTAACTAACAATTTATGTTTTGAGCATCTTTTTTTAACTAAAAAACGAAAAAAAAAGCTTTTCTTCGCATGTTTAAACAATATTTTTGATAACTACAAATGTTAAGTTAGCGAAATAGTCGTCCATAACACCGAACTTCACTTATACTTCTCTAATCGCTTGTTATATGATAAAACTTTTTTATAATGTTTTTTCCCAATTTATTCACACAAATAATCGCATTTGATGATAGCATTAATAATCAAACTAAATAGTTAAGATATCAAGGGCCTTCTGGGGAAAAATTTGGAAAAAAATCTGAAATTTTTAGTCAAATATAAGGAATATCTATCATGTTGAAAAACAAGCAGATAGAATTATTTATATTTAACAGTAATTATAATAAAAATGAAGTATTCTATTGCTTACAAGATAGTTACTAAAGTATTAAGTTTACAAATCAATATAAATTTACTTAAAAAATCCTATATTCCCATATTAATAAACGACGAATTCGGCCTATCGCAGTAGTTTTGAATATCAAAGTTTTGAACTTAAGCGTGTTTAATATAATCAGAAATAACTTTTAGATTATATAATTATAAGTCATTTTAATCATTATTATATTATCATCAAAGGTGGCAATGTAATACGAGGGCAAACCTATAACATTTCAAATTTATATAGAAACAGTCCATATATAAAATTGAAAATATCATGTGTTGGGTTTTTCCGTAATTCACAAAAATCCATTTTCCTTCGAGAACTTTTAGATTTTTTGCAAGCAAAATTGGCCAACATTCCACAGGCCAAGACTTTAGAACTCATTGATTCCATGGCTGATTGNGTCATTTTAATCATTATTATATTATCATCAAAGGTGGCAATGTAATACGAGGGCAAACCTATAACATTTCAAATTTATATAGAAACAGTCCATATATAAAATTGAAAATATCATGTGTTGGGTTTTTCCGTAATTCACAAAAATCCATTTTCCTTCGAGCATTTTCGCTTTTTTTTATTATTATATTTTCCTTTAAAAATTTTAAAAGATCAATACTGTTATTCAGATTTTGTCATATTTATATATATATATATATACATATAATTTATAGTTTAATTAAAAGTAGTAAATTTACCCAGAAAAATTCTTTCTATTCTCTTCGTATTTACATAGGCCTACATAGATTTAGCGCTTGTTGTTTAATTTAGAATTAAAACATATCAGATCAAATTATATTTTATTCTATTTTTAATCTTATTACACATAGATTTACGAGAATTCACAACGCATCGTTGAACAGATGACGAGGGATTCAACTTTAAAGTACCAAAAGAAAATGCTCGAAGCGTGACGGATCACCAATAAATTCCAACTATTAAGCGCTATATTATGTATTATCAGACCTCAAATGATTAATGTTAACGTTTTTACTGATGTATCCAGTGTTATTTTTCAATAATAATGCTTTTTAAGTTCCTAAAAAAGAAATTTTCTTTTAATTTTTTAATGTTGAAATTCCGAAATTTCTGAAGTTCAAGATACACGTAATGTTGCTCTGACGGTTGGAAACGGTTTTAAAAAATCCTTAACAAAAGAACGAAAGGGTATTTATAAAAACTATTTAATTAAACGATAGAAAACCTCATCATTTTAAAGTACTTTCGGATTTTGCTTCTTAATGATGAGGCATTCAATTAAAATTTTATATGGAAGCGATATCTTTTTCTCTTTATAATGGCTTCGTTTCTTTATTAATTCAATTATCGTTATTATTTATTTATAAGATTCGTATACATTAGCCAAAAATCATTAAGGCAAACGTTATATAAATAAATTACATGGATTATTTTTCGAACTAAATCCACAAAAAAGTCTTTAATGGCAAATCTCAAATTTAAATCGGACTGATTTTTACAAGATTACTTTTAAACATTCCTATTAATATTACAATTAATTAAAATTAACTCTTATATGCTTATAACTTTAGTTTAATACTCAATAAATATGTTTAATTTTAATCATTCTTTTTATTTTCTTGAATAAAATTCCTAAATAGTTTAATCTCATTTCGCAAAAGGCTAGTTTTTCTAACATTTGTAAATATTTCAATGGTGATTTTGTTACATACGAGTTACAGGCCAAACTATTTTAAATATACGCTAATTTTGTACTAAATCTAATTTAATTAATATAGACATTAACATTATATACGCAAGCCTTTATAACAAATCCATATTCACACAGCCATCCTTCGATATAAGAACGTTCGATAAAAAAATAGAATTAAACTATTTTTAAGCTAATAATACTAAAAATAAAACAAATGATAGGACTTATTAAAATTTATTCAGGATATTTTAGATCTTTCCTGGTTAATTTTCAGCTTCCCTACATGTTAGAAAATTCTTTTAATTATAATATTTGCATTCTGTTGTAAATTAGATGCTAAATCTTTAATCTTAGAACTTATAACCATTTAAATAAACTTACTACTTCTAAATAACTCAATTTTTAACACTGCCTACCGTATTAAAAATTAATATAGTCTCTAAGGGATAAAATAACGGATGGATGATGATAACATAGCGACATATTAATTTGTGTGAACGTACTTATTTTACTAAAAATACAGACATATGCAGAATAAATTATCAGTTTTTTGAACTTAAAAAAAGTAATTTAAATGCTGTTATTTATCCTCTATAAATAAATTGTTAATTGTACAGAACTTTTAAGTTTTATACAAAGTATTAGTATTTTCACTGACTATATAATGCCACCCTTAAAAATGAATGCGATATTATTAAATTTTTTGCTATTGATTATACTGTTAATCATTATTTTCATTAATATTCGTTAAAATAAATTATTCAAGTGTGACTATTAAAATATTTTTCTAGCATTTTAATAAGCCTGATTAGTCAATTTAAGTTTCACATACTTGAACTGTAGTTTAGTCCGTTTTTATAAGATTTCAAGCGTAATTAAGCATTCGATTTAGCTATTTTAAAGCTTGTAATAGTGAAAATTAGATAATAAGTTTGTTAATAAAGCAAGGAATATACGGAACCATTGACCATTTCCAGTTTTACTTAAGCCATAAAAATGGCAAGAAAATTCGACGTTTTTTACATAAAATTTAAAAAGAAGAAAAATAGAATAAATTTTTAAAAAATTCTAACATTTAGGCGTATTTTACTTAAATTTTTCTTGGATAAAAATAGAATGCAAATGGTCTTTTTTATGAACGTGTAGGATATTATTTTGTTTCTGTGACATAGCTAACGTGTCTGACATGCTGAACAATTCTATCAATAGCAAACAGTTAATTCGGAGTTTCTACATTTTTTTTTATACGTTTCCTTTATGCTTTATCCCTTAATCAATATAGACCTAGACATATAGATCCTACTCACGACAAAGAAGGGAAATTGAATAAGCTTGTTTAGATATACAAGATTTAAAATAATTCTCGAGATAGATTGTCGTTATAACATCTAAAGAACTACCGAGAACTTCAGAAAAAGACTTCATACTTTGAGGCCTTTTATCTTCGAATTCATAAGAAAAAGTATAAAGGGTAGGGGTTTGTAATAAGGCCTCATAAGGCTCCAATACATAAATACATTAAAAACTCTTTGAGCTTTAAAGTTTGAATTAAATGACCCACAAAGGTACCCCTTTTGCTTGGCCTACTTTAAAGATTAACGTTTCTTCTTAACAGATAAAGCAAATATTACATAGGCCTACCTCATAATTAATATCCTTTCCAGTTATTAATCACCAAGTATTTCGCTTTTACGAGCCAAAATATAATTGTCACGTTAATAAAAAAAAAAAAAAAGATTAGCCAATTTGTAGATTAGCTTTCTATCCTGGGAACGATTAGAATTAGCTATCACAATTAGCTGTTAGGCCTTTTCGCCAGCAAACGCTCTCGTTCAAATTACCAAATTACAATTAAGGGAGGAGATTGATGATGCCACAATTAAAATCATTTTCGTTTTGTTTATTGTTAGGGAATTTAATATATATTTTTCCTTTTTTTTTACAGATGAGAATATTATTCGATTATGTTGCTGTCTGAAGGGCGCGTGGGAAGTGGCAGACGGTAATGCCACAGAACAAATTGCATTCTAGGCGATTTGTGGAAAAGAAAATCAGAGACTAGGACTAGTTTTGAGCTTCATCCAATAGTTTGACTCCGATCTTTATTTTTAATACTTCAATAGCTCCTTTACGTTAGACTAGTGAAATTTTCCCTGGTTTAAAAAGTTGTCTTAACATAGAAATACGCCCGAATTGCCGAGAACAGAGTAGGAATTTATGGTCTAAATTATGCTAATTAAATATTTAAAGAATGGACTTACAAATCCATGTTTGTCCGATATGTTGTTGGTTAGTTTGAGTTTGTGAAAAGACACCATTTTCTGCATCCACTGCTCTCCTGTACCGGGCGAGTCGGGATGGATGTACATCCTCTTGGGCATCTCGGGATCAGCCTTACCCGCCACAACCCACCGACTATTGTGGAATTTGTAACGGCAGTCGTCGGCCGCAACGATGTCCATCAACAGAATGTACTTGGCCTTCTTATCCAGTCCAGACACGCGGACCTTGAAAGCTGGAAACATTCTCCTGAAAATAGAAATTGTCGATCACAAATTAACGCTCGGGTACCATCGATAAGAAAAGGCCAAAGGTCGGAGTGCGATCGGACTGCACGAAACGAGTTTAGTATGTTAGGCGCAATCGAAATTTCGAAGCACGGACCCACTCCACCCACGGCCAACGCCCTCCCGGCGGCGACGACCGAAAAATGGAAATTACGAAAAAATCGCACTCACCTTCCGGATTTCGTAATGACCATTTCTGTTCCGAAAGAATGAAATTGCTGCCAGAGTTCCTTAGATTCTAAAGTCACTTTAGGATCGTCCTGGACGCCGTCTTCTTCCGGTTCCAGCGTCCTGAGAGTTCTGTAGGGAGACTGGTGGGCTACGATGTCTTCGGGCGCGATGTGTGTGGATCCGGGTAGAGGTGGCGGAAGTTTGGGAAACAACGAAGGATATCCCCTAGGCACGGGGTTGAAAGTAGGCGCAAGATACTGCGACTGCGTCAGTAGGGAGCTGACACTGAAATCGGCCGGTCGAGAGGGAGTCAGAAGGAATGGGTGATAAGCCATCACCGGTCCGAAGTCCGCAGGTTCGAATCTCATCGAGGCCAATTCGCCCTGGCCTCACTTTCCGGGACAGAGGTGAGGTGGGATGAGGACTCCCCGTCCCGACACTGGCGTCTCCCGTCGTGTGAATCTAGGCGCTGTGTCGCTGTCGCCTTTGACACTCGCTGCACTGTTGATTGGCTATTTGCTCGGCTCCAGCCAATCAGACGAGTTGAGCTCCCGACACGCTAAGTAATGCTTCGGCGCTTCGCGTCTCACATAGCGATCGGCAATCCATCTCACCTCGCCTCGCTTACCTTCGAATCGGTCGGGACGCAATCTGCCACTTCCATAATCGAAGGTGGGCGACGATTACCCGGGCCGAGAGTGCTTCTACACGTCGCTCGCCCCGTGGCTGGCCTGTAACGTCCGACAGGCGCCATTGAAATTGCGAGTGTCTACACATTCCTCCCTCTTTGACGTTTTTGCCAACTCCCGTTTGGATAAATTATCCTTGCTCCGGCAAACTCGTTACCGTCCCGACCTAATTGTCTGCCACTCGCTCTATAAATATGTGCTTAACCATTAGAATAATCCCGAACGCCTTCTTATCTTTCCCAATGTTTGATATTTAATTATCATATAACTATATCGTGACTCGAGTACAACTATCCGGCTTTTTTCCCTTCTTTTTCTTCCTTCGTGAAATATTTTCCAATTTCTTCATATTAGTCACTCAAAAACCTGTCGGGCCGTAGATTTTTAAGTAACTCATCACGATTTTTGTATTTAAGTCGAATAAATCACACCGAAAATTCTGTACTGGAAGCAACTTTCTTTTCCATTCAATAAACTGGATATAACAAAAATCTAAGACGATTTTACCGTCTGATAAAGTGTGTTAAGAAGCTGGGGAAATTGCAAAACGGATGAAATTTAGACCCAGCAATTGGCCCCGGAGCGTAAACTTGTAAACATCTAGAGCATTCTTTAACGCTTTACTTACGAAAACAAAAGGAATTTTAAAAGATATCGAGCGGAAATAATTGAATTTCTCTTAGAAAAAACCTAAACGGTTCCTCTTCTCTTATCGAAAACTATTTATTTAGGGCAATTTATAACACGACAAGAAACAATCTCATAGTATTGCCTTTTTGATATCAATTTAATATCATAAGAACATTGCCTTTTAAGTAGAACGAAACCCTTATCTGTTGTATCCTTACGTTCTTTCCGTCGAAGCATCTATCTTGATGGAAGATATATTTCGGATAATTGAGCTTAATTGATTGATTACCGTGCATAAATTTGATTGCCATCGATAAAGATTCGATGCTAAAGGTAATTCTAAAAATGCCTTTCAACGAAGTGTTTAAAAATATGAGAGATAATTAAGATGGAAGTATTATTGACGGAAACATTTCCTCATTAAATCTACTTTTTTTCCCCTCTTTTTAAACACTAACATGGAGCTGTTTATCTCATTAATTTTTAAAATATACCGCGGAGTGTGCCGAGATTGATAAAATCTTTATTGCGTTAACTTTAAAAAAATTGCCGGTTTTATGTGGTTTATAAACGTTACAAGAGATGGGTTGGTCAACTTTTAGAATAGTCTAAATATATTAACATTTATATTACTAAATGGCCTATTATATTATGTTACTCCACATATAATTTTATATATTTTTATTATTATTTTATCTGATTACTTGATAAATATTGCTGTTAATAATTCGTTTTTTTAGGAGGCAATAACCTTCATAATTTGTGGATTTAAGTGCGTGTTTATGAGGTGGATTCTTGAATCCTCAACTCCAAGAGATTCCTGTTTGAAATTTTAAAAAATATATATTAAAAATTTACTTTAAAAATGTGCCCGAATAATGATTTAGAACGAGTTGTGCTTTTCCGTAAAGGTTCCTGCTCGATTTCGCCTCTCTTCTTCCTCTAAGAATTCGAGGATTTAGTGAAATTTTATTTTTTTAAATAATTAAATTAGTAGGTAAATTTTAGAAAATTTTTATTTTTCGTTTAATAATTGTTTATATATTTATGTTTCTTTCTAAATAATTGTCTTGAACGTTCCGGAAAAGCTTCCAATGAATACTGAACAACTCCCTTAATTGATATTTATACATTACATTTTATTGAAACAACAAAAATTAATTTAGACTTGTTAATAAGAAATCCAAATATATATACGGAATGGTCAAAAATCAGTTAACCGTATTTTGCGTATTCCGTTTAGTACGTTTCAGGGATACACTTGTGAACAAGAATCATAAATTGAGCGTAGAATAACGTGTTTTTCTTTCTCAAAACTGGTAAAATCAGTATAAAATGACACGAGTTCAGTCTTTACGAACGGTTAGCTGACTTTTAGGCCACTCCTTATAAGTTATACTATATCATTTATTTTTAAGCGTTGTATAAGTTTATTTTTATTTTTATTTATTTATTTATTTTTAATTTATAAAAGGTAATACTTCAGAGAGAGCAAGGAATTACCTCCCCAAGCAAGAACCCAGAGATAAAATCAATAACAATAAATACAATAAAAAATAACAAGTAACTTAAGTTAAACGAATTCTAAATTTTTATATTAATTTATCCATTAAATTGTAATACAATTTATTTTAGAAATATAATTTTATTCTATTTTAACTTCCAGTTATTACTCTAGGCCTATGAATTATATCAAATTTTTTGATATTAATATTTGATTTTTATAAAATATACCGACTTTTATCTTTAAATAAATATACATTTTTATATGTAAACATGGAAATTATTTAAAATTCATAAATATATTTTATATAAGAAACCGTATAGAAACGTTAAGATACTGATCTATTAGAGGTATGGCTTGTAAGAAAGTTGAGTAAAGCGACATGGATCATTAAGAAGAATTTTCAGATATAAACTTCTTGCATGCACACAGTAGAATAAAGACAGCGACTAGTTTTATCTGAAAGTAATAAAATTACCTATTCTACACCCATTTATATCATATTTAAATATGAAGAGATCTTATTAAAACATTACTCTAGTTCTTAATGGGATACTCAGTTCAGAGATTGACAAGATAATCTGGATATCTTCATAACTTAGATATCTGAAATGTAATAATCGATAACGAGTCGTTAAATTATTCAATAGGCCTACATTTAGCTTAATTTACTTTCATAAACTCCGTATTGTTTCGTTAGACGATTCATTTTTGTATAGCAAGCATCCCAGGCGCCATTTCCAAGTGTTTTTGCGTAAAGAAACCTGTCTTAAGACTGAATTTTGCCGTTCGAATGATGCGGATTATAAATGTTAAATAATAAACACGGAGTTTACATGTTGTAAATTTGTTTTTATGAATATGTAGAACGAAGTAAAGTTTGAGATCTTAAGAAAAATTCGATTGCACTCCGCATATCTCGTAAAGAGACTACGGATCAAATGAAGTTTAGCGGGGTTAATGGATGGAAAATAAGCAACCGTATATAGGTCCTGTTTGTGGATTTCGGTAATCGATTGTAGTTTCGGGTGCTCGAATTGATAGTTTTTAAGAGTCAGGCGAAAAGTGCAAGGCATTTGGAAAAGAGTCGTTCTGCTAGCATCGACCTATCCGAACGACAAGGCATCTCCTAATGTTTACAGCGCCCAATAGAGCCGAAGATAATTTCAATATCGATCGGGACATTTCGGTCGCCAGTCTTCCATTAATAAATTTGCCATCCCGTGCAAGCGACTGATGACTGCTACTTCCCGTCCCATGAATACCTTATATTCAGATCGAACGGATGCATTTCTGGGCTTCCTGACTCCAGCCGACAAATTCGTCTCTTGTCTCCGGCAGCCACTTAATGACGCCAGAGCCATGAAATTCAAATCAATCGGACAAGACCCTCTTTGAATGTCAAAACCGCGTTCTCCTCCGTCCCGGACACAATTGGCTAGTGTCCTCTTCACTGATTAGCTGGTGTCGTTCGCAACTCCTATTCTTCCATTCTTTCCACACCAAGTGCATTGGGGAGAGGAAAAAAAATCGCTTGGGATGTCTTTATTAGCTTATAGTTCTTTTATTACTCGCTCGGGCATTCGGACACACGCCAGCGTGACAATCTTTAAATTGCCTCACACTATGCCTACACGCTTTACATCCATCTACGTCGCTTTCTACATCGTGAGATTCGACCATAACTTACGGCGCCTTTACTCCAAACACCGTTTCTAATTAAAGGAAAATAGGATATATTTTTTATTTATTTTCCTCCATCAACAGTTTTGTAGGTTGTTACATAAAAACCGAAAGTAAACAAAATTAAAATCTTTTTTATTTTCTATCAAATTTTTAAATTTCTCGTTAAAAATATCCTCAAAATTCCCCGTTTTCCTTAACGATTTTTATGATTTTTATCACTTTATAGGCCTTGAAACATCCATAAATCCTACGACAGAAAATACTTTCCTAAGTCATATACAAAATACAAAAGTAAAACATTAAATATGTAAATAAATTACTTTAAGGCCATATTTTGACTTTAAATCTTCTATTGGAGCGTTCCTTCTGCAGGAAGATTAGATAATTAAAGAAAAAGGGAGCTTTTTTCTTCATAGTCAAGTAAAATATTTTATTTTATAAAAAATATCTCAAATAAGTTCGGAATTCCCTATTGCTCTTCCTTTGAAATTTTTGCGATTTTTAAGATCTGTCGCCGTTTACCGACATAAAAAGAACCTGAAGGATTTGCTTTCGTATTAGATGCCTACAGGAGTTTTAAGGTGAGATTAACCATAAAAACTTCCTTTTAAAAATAATCGCCCATCGATCAAGGCGGAAATCTAAATAGCTAACGAACATCCGCCATTTGTATTCAACCAATGACGACAAAAACTTTTCTCGTCTTGATTTCCAGTTGCGTCTGAACCCACCGTGAAATCGCATCCGATTTTCGGACAAGTCATTGTAACGGGAGACATGGGGACTTCAATCACGTGATCCTAATGAGACTGTCCGTTTGGCTGAACCGCCTCTGTCTTGTTAAGCTTTGTAATTTTGGCTTGGAAAAACTCCTGCCACATGATAATGAGAAGCTCGATGCACACACTATCCTATATACCAGAGGATAAAGTTTTTTCTAACCTCTCCCTTTTTTTTTATTTCTTTCTTCCTCTTTTCCAATCCCTCTACTTCGATCTCTCTTCGAAAGGGAGTTGAATTATTCAAACATGACGTAGAGTGACAAGTTCCCGATGATTTAGTGATGGATGCGAAGGGAAAATAAATAATGTCGACCCCCTATTTTAAATGGGCGATGACGACGATAGCTATTTATGCGTTATCTTTAACTTTTGTTTTTAATTAGCATTTTAAAAATATCGGAAAAAATC